TCTGAATAAATAAGTACATCTGTGCCTCCTAGAGTTACCATATGTGAGGATATCCCAAAGAGTGGGAATTAGAAGAAATGGAAAAATGTAGAGGAAATATGTCCTGCTTTAGCCCATGCTCAACACCAGTCATCCTCAAGAAGAGACAACCCTGCCTTTCACAGCTAAGGATTAATAAGTCAGCTGCTCAAACTTTGGAAAACACAAATGATTAAGTCTTGATTCATCTCAGAAATCCTCTGAGGCTCAGAGCAACTTATCTATTGCTTGTTCTTGAGAAGTAGGTGAGTCTAGCACATTGCTAGTTGACTGGTGTGACTGATTCCTCAGCACTGCAAGAAGCTAATCTGCTCAATAGCCCCAGTGTTAGTTTGTTCATGTTTATTCTAGTAGGTCTCCTCTGTTTATTCAGAGGCATGGGATAAAAGCACCTGAAAGTCTCACTTTCCAGGTACAAGTAAACTGGCTCAAAGGACATGGCATGAATTTGGAGACTCAACTCTCGCTTTTCCAGGTAGTTCCGTACTGTGGAGGGCTGGATAAACCACTTCTTTTATTTTTGCTTTTTTTACACTTGTCTCTAATTAGTTTTTAAATGCATCCAATGAAAAATTCTAAGCTTGTCTTATTTGGGTAGGTCTGGGCCATTTAGTAGAGGTAGAGATGCATAATGAAACAGTTATTTCATTCTAACCAGATTGGCCTAGTCACACACTAATTAGATTTCCATTGCTGTGTTTGGAATATTTCCTGGGTGTGTCTTAGCCATTCTTTGCCAACAATTCTTCATGGCTTAGCTGAGGAGAGTTTTCCCAGAATACTGAAGGTTATAACAGTCTTTTCCTCTGAATTTTTAGACTTAATTATCATTGTTGGTAATTTGTGTTACAGCAGTTTTTAATATGTGTGGTTTTGGTATGACTTGGCTCTCCAAACTGAATTATTTATCTCTGCAGGGTATATAGATGTATGAACTTGGTGGTTGTATGTATGGTCTATTCTTTAATAATTGCTAATTGGTTGCATGAATTAGATCTAATAAATGCCATTATTTGAAATAAATGTAAAGCAACTATGAAGAAATGAAGATATGGTGAACCCCAGGGTATTTTTAAGTTTAGGTAGATTAGCAAATAATACCTAGTGCTTGATACCTGGGACCGTAGATAGTGGATTTCTATAATAACGTGAGAAAGACATAGCATGTCTTTAGATGGTTTACTTTCAGATGATTAAGATGACTACTTTCAACTAAATTTATGTGATCTTGTATAATTCTCAAAATTGAAGCATTAGTAAACCATTCAAAGATTTTTTTCATCTGAAAACACTCATTTAATCAGAGAAAATTAAATGTTTACATGAAAGCCTAGTAATAATAATATAAACTAGCTGCCAAATTTTTCCATATTGGCTGCACCTTTTGATGGTTCCATCAGCAGTGTAACAATGTTTGTTTCTCTACATTCTTTACTGTCTGTCTTACTAAGTTTAGCCATCCTAGTGCAAGTGAAGTGGTATCCCATTGAAGTGGTATCCCATTGTCCTTTTGTCATTGGATTGTAGGGGTTTATAGATACAAGGCCCTTATCAGGTAAATGACTTGCAAATATTTTCTCCCGTTCTGTGAGTTGTCTTTTTCACTTTTTGGTGTTCTTTGCAGTACAAGAATTTTAAATCTTGATAACGTTCAGACTTTTTTTGTTTGTTTCTTGTACTTTTAGTGTCATGTTTAGGGAATGGTGGTCAAGAAGATCTAAGTTCAGTATTTTCTTCTGAGTTTCATATAGTATAAGCTCTTATATTTAGATTTGAGTTAATTTGTATATATGGTGTGAGGGAGGGGTCCAGTTTTATTCTTTTTGTGTGGCATCCAGTTGTCCCAGCACCATTTATTGAAAAGAGCCTTCCAATATTCTTTACCATGGTGAATAGAATTATTATTTAGCATATAAGAAAGCTAGAAATCTAGTGTAATTCTCAATATATGCATCTAGTTTATTATCATGTCCTGTCATTTTTACCTCGGCTCGTATTCCTGTTCCCTACCACCCTTACCCAAACTACACTGATCTTTTGTTTCAGCTCACTTGCTAGTGTCCAAACTGGTGTAGTCTCACCAGTCTTACCCTTCACTTTTATTATTTTCCAACTTGTGCCTGTCTTTTCTTTTTCTTTCTTCCTTTCTTCCTTTCCTTTCTTCTTTTTTACAACCACAGTTCAAGGTCTTCCTTTTTACTCTTAGGATTAAGACAAAAATTCCATAGTATGATCTATAGGGCCGGGTAGGAGGCACACATACTTATTTGGCCTCATTTTGACTTTTATGCCCTCTTGATTTCTTCAATCCAAATAATTCTCAGAAAAATATTTCCATATCTTCCCTCTACCACAGCTACCAGCCTGCCTGCATCCTGTGTTACTCTGCCTTCTCACCTGTAATTTTGTATGAATTTTCCATTCCCTTATCTAAGGCTAACCCTTCTACAAATTCTCCAGGTTTCATTCCCTTTCATTGAGGCAGAAATATCACTTGATCAGTTGTTCCATTTCCCATCTGCATTATGAGTTTTTCCTCTAATTCTGATCAATTTACAAACATGCTGTTATTTCTTCCATGTTAAAAAAGAAAAACAACTCCCTCCCACCCCAGCTCTTGACCCTGTGTTTCATTCTGGAGTCCAGTGGTCAGTTCTCAGTCTTCATCTTAACTTTTTAGTAACATTTATCCAAGATACATGTTTAGTAACATATATCCTCCTTGAAATACTTGCTTTTTCAAAAATACCAGCTTTTGCCAGACACATGCAGCACTCTTCGTTCTAACTTCAGAAGATAGTCTCTTACAAGTTCACCTTTTGGTTTTGGTGTTGCCTTCCTTCATATGGAAGCTCTTTCTGTATTTAGAGAGTTATCATCATGCCCCTTCAGTATCTTATCCTTCATTAAATGAAATAATCTAATTTCTCTTGAGATTTTTTTTTAGCTGTTTTTAAGCCCATAAACTGTTCCTGAGGGATTTTATATAAAATATGCTCCAACATAGACCCTATCTATGCACCAACTACCAGAGGATTACTTTCAAAAGATTTTATGAATAAGGCTCTTGTTTTGCGACTTGGATACTAGAAATGGCAATTTCTAACAATTAGTGAAAGAGAAGTATACTTTAATAGAAAAATTCTTGCACCTGTAGCTTTACTAATCTTTTTAAAATTGATTTCAGGGAGGGAGGGAGATAGAGAAATATTGATTTTTTTTTTAAATGAATGCATTGGTTGATTCTTTATGTTCCCTGACTGGAGATCTAACCCACAACCTTGGTATATTCGGATGACACTCTAACCAACGGAGCTACCCAGCTAGGGCAGGCTTCGTTAATCTCCGATTAGTAATTTAGTTCTGTGTTGAGCTCCTTGTACTATCAAAATACACATATGAATATTAAATAGTTTGGGTAAAAAATAGCCATTTGAGTGCTTATTACTAGTGGTTCAAATGCTATATTAATGGATGATACAACTTTAGGTACTTTTTATCCCCAATTTTATATATGAAGAGACTTGAGGTACAGGAATCTTAGAAATAAAAGATTTCCAAAAGATTTTCTTAGTCACATTGTCACTGCAGGCAAAATCAACATATTGATCCTTCTGGCTTTTGTTTTTTGATCTTACAAGATAAAATAACCATGTCAGACTTGTTAGGTCTCATTGCTTTAAGAGTCAAGTCATTTGGTGGAAATTTTCTCCAATATTTAACTGAGGGATGGTTCATGTAGCCTTTCTGCTGTCCTACTTGGTTTGATGGGATTTAAATAAGGGCATACAGTGACTCTAAAACATCTGTATATCTTTTGTGAAATTTCCAATGTTTCTTTTAAAAGAGGTTTTAAATTTTCAAATTATATAAAAGTATCATGCTATAAAATAATTTCAAGATTTCAGCCTGTCTGTAGTTTCCTCAGAATTTGTAGTCACTAATATCTTGCCATTAAGAGTAGAAAAATACTATTCTTTTCTTTTAAGGTACTTCTTACATTTAACAATGCCTTTTTAATAAATGAGATTAAAAACACGTAGTATTTAATTGTTTCTGAACTTGGTCACTCTGAGGAGATCCTTTTCTCCACAGCTGTTTATCATTTTATGAAATAAGTGCAAAAAATTTTTTGTGGGCACAGGCCTCCAAAATGACATTTTAATAATAGAAACTTTAAAAATTATCCTTCTTTCATCTCATTTGTTGTCTTAAAGAAGTGTTGCCTTAAAAAAATTTAGGGGAATATTTTATCTTAAACATGTTGATTATCCAAGATTGAAAACATTTCACCTGAAAACTTAAAGACTTGTGTCTCAGCAGTAAGGTGGTCACTTCAGTTGCAGTACTATTTTAATCAGTGGATGTGTGACAACTGAAGTGTTTTCTTCTTTGAAAGTTTCAGTGGTGAACTTTTTGTCTCTCTTTTTCCTACTTACTCAAAACTTTTTTTTTTTTATCAGTAAAGAACTCAGCACAGGATCCAAGACAAGTCTGGGTTCAGGATTTATTTCTAGAAGTGTGTTAAACAATTTTTGCTAGGTACATACTTAGGAAGCTGCATAACTAGGTACTATGGTTACCATCATCTCTGGGACTTGCTCTACTTGTTCACAGTCCCTTCACTAACCTGCACATCCTGTGCTTGTTTGGTCTCTCTTGCTTTTTGCTTTTCCTCTTGTTTGGGACTTTAAATCTAACTTGCTCTTTTGGTGCTTCATTAGAGTAGCTAGGTATCCTTTCTGGACAGTTAAGAAATGAACTGACCAACAGGAGCAGTAAAATGGCAAAAGCGTAGCTGTTCCTTGTCCTTTGTGTTAAACACAGTAAGTTTAGAGGATTATGACTACATGCAATCATTAGGATCTGCCAGACAGGACATCTGTTTTACTTTTTCCTCATTACACTGGTGTAGAAATAGCATCTTTTTAATTTAATGTGAAAATTATTTTGTGTTCTAGCTGGCAGTGGTGGCCTAATTTTTGAAATGTGCTTTCTGGAAAAATCAGCACATGGTTAGTATAAAATTATCTTATTAGTACTAGATACTCATTTTTAGTCTGAAAATACTTGTTTTCTAACTGTGGAAAATAAGTTGCTGTGGATGTTTGAGTTATTATTTATTCTAGACTGCATAAAAATGTTTGGCATATACAAATATTTTCCTTTGGTTTAATTTTCTAGGTTGCACGTTTTCAAAAAATTCCTAATGGTGAAAATGAGACAATGATTCCTGTATTGACATCAAAGAAAGCAAGTGAACTACCAGTCAGTGAAGTTGTAAGCATTCTCCAAGTAAGTGCTTGGGGGGCAGGGAGAAAGGAGTATATAGTAAGGTCAGTTGCCTTGACCCTACGTAAGTGCTGTCCAATAGAATTTGCGTGAGGACAGAAGTACTCTCTTCTGTGTTCTCCATTGTAGTTGTCACTAGTTAGACATGATTATTGAATACTTGAAGCATGGCTTGTTTAGGGGAGGGACTGAATTTAATTTTACTTAATTTTTATTTACTGAAATTTAAATAGCTGCATGTGGCTGGTTGCTACCTGATTGGACAATGCCACTCTAGATCATTAGCATTACCAGGACTTTTAGTACTGTGTAAGGATTAGTTGAATTAAAATAATTAACTATTAACATAAATAGAATTAGGAGTTTATCTTTTTTTAATGTTTTCTAAAGTAAAAGCTAAGTACAAGTTCAGAACTGCAAAAAACTTTAATCTTTTTAATTTTGAAAAGTGCAATCTAATAAAACATGAAGAAAAGAATATTTTTTATCTTTCCTTAGGAATTCACATACTTTAATGATGGCATTAAAAATATTGCCTGTCCTTTATTTGAGGGTTTTCTTTTTTGATTGTTCTATTTATACTCTGTTTTAAAACCACTTATTTTAAATCTATTTAAGTGTTGCAAGATTTCATTATTGGAGTGCATTATAAAACTTTGGCCAGAGAAACTAATTATTTTAGGGGTGTGGGTAATTTCATTCCTTTTTTTTTAAGATTTTATTTATTTATTTTTAGAGAGGGGGGTGGGAGGGAGGAAGGGGAGGAAAGAAACATGGGTGTGAGAGAGAAACATCAATCGGTTGCCCTCTCAAGCATCCCAAGAAGGGACCAAACCCACAACCCAGGCAGGTACCCTGACCGGGAATCAAACCAGTGGCCTTTCCCTGTGTGGAACAGTGCCCAACCAACTGAGCTGCACTGATCAGGGCTAATTTCATTCTTTAATGATAGTTGCAATAATGAATTATGAGAGACAGTGGCTAAAGAATGTAGGTGGTATTCATAGAACATAAAGTATCCCAATAACCAGTTCTTCTCAATTTCATCGTTTTGAGTAATTAGGAACCACAGATTTTCTGCCTGTATTAATTGTATACAGTATTTTGTCATGTGTAATGCAACCCTTTTGCCCAAATTTTTGAGAAAGAAATAAGGATACACATTATAAATAAGTAGTACCTGAAATACCTTGTATCTGTTTTTGTGTTTTGTCATTATTTGTTAAATAAAATTTCTTGTACCATAATATGTTCAAAAATAAATGCTGAAATTCTTTTATAATATAAAAAAAGTATCGAAATATAAATAAATAAGTAATTGAATTAAAAAATTAAAATGAAAGATTTTTTCCTGAAAGTTTGGGCTGAAAATGTGGGTGCACATTATACATGGGAGTCCATTATACAGGGCAAAATACTGCCCTGTATAATACTGTCCAAGGGGAAAAGGTAATAAATACCATCTTCAAAGTTTTGATAGGATTTAGAGAACAAGGAAGGTCGTTCTAGCCCATTTAATGTTCTTTTGGAGAAACTAATTTTAGAAAACAAAACAATGAAAACAAAGAAAGATAATTAGAATATACTGATATTTTGCTTTTTGTAAGAGTGGCTGGTTTCTATTCTTCCTTTTCCCCCCACAGGAAACCATTTTTGTTTGTTTTTGTTCATTAGACTCTTATTGCTTACATTAAAAAAAAATTTATCCAAGTATAATTTACGTAAGGTAGACCATATCCATATTTAGTGTACAGTTTGCATTTTGACAGATGTAACCACCACTGCAATTAAGATACAGAACATTTTCATCATTCCCCGAAACTCCCTTATGTTCCTTTGCAGTTAACCTGTATGCCTCTGGCCCCAGGCAACCACTGATGTGCTTTCTGTCCCCATATATTAGCTCTCACTGTTGTAGAAGTTCCTATAAATGTATCATACAGTAGGTACTCGTTTGTGTTTTTCTTTATTGTCCTCTGCCAACCTTTTCAGTAACTTTTATATGTAAATTGTAATAGGCGGATCTGCAGAATGGTCTAAACAAATGTGAAGTAAGTCATAGGCGAGCCTTCCATGGCTGGAATGAGTTTGACATCAGTGAAGATGAGCCACTATGGAAGAAATATATTTCTCAGGTGAGATATTATTTCTTCCTCTGTTGTGTAATTTATATGTATTTTTCTCAGTGTAGTTACTTTTGTTAAGTTATTTGTGAAAGGAAATAATCTTTTAAAATGTTTTTTACCTAAATTTTTCCATTTGTATACTGTTAGGTTGGAATTTTTGTAACTTTTAGTATACAAATCTTCCAGGGTTTGTGGACATATCACACAGAGGTGATACTGTTAATAGTAGTTTCCTTTGCAGATGTTTAACTTACACTTTTTAATTATAGGAATGCTAATATTTTTTAAAGTAATATGGTCAGCTTAGAAAATTAGTAAAAGTAAGTTTAGTAATTTGAATCCAGACCTCCTGGGTACATATTTCTCCTTTATTGGTAGTATCTGTATGATTTTATTATCCTCTGAGCCTTGTTTATAAATGGGGATAATGATCATAGGAGATAGTAAGCTATCAATAGATGATAGCTATTTTTAATAATATTTTATCAATAGCCTAATCATTTCAGAAAGACTTATAGGATTTTTTCTTATCTTGACAGCAAGTTACGTTAGTGTGAAAAGTTCTAAGAATCCTACTGCCAACTTTCATCAAATTGTAGGGTTATTTTGCCAGACAAATTCCTTTTTAATAAAGAAAACTTCTAATGCCTTTTAACCCATAGATTCCTATTTTTTTCTTTTTAATTAAACAAGGATCTGTGCTTAACTTTTCTAAAGGGCCTTGTCTGTTAATGAGCCCAATTTACCAGTATTATCTGTGCAAAGGAATTTGTCTGAAGTAGAAATACTGAATTTTTAGACATTGAGAGAACCTTGTGTGTGTTTGTTTTATTTTTATGGAATATTTTTATATGCATATTTGTATTCTGACATTTCCATATTACCTAGAGCTTCGGGAAGTTTCCTCTGGATTTATAAACTGCAGTGATTCAGCTTATCCCTAGGCAGTATGATTTCGTGTTTTACTTTCTTTATCCTCTTTCAAAGCTAGAGTACCTGCATCATGAGATTGCTGTGAGAATGAAATGAAACCGTGCCTATCATGTAGTTAAGTACGAGCAACAATTGATAGTAAATATTAGTTGTCAATCATAAAGCATTAGTTGACTCTGCTTCTCTACAGATAACACAATTTGTTTTGCAAACATTTGTCTGGAACCCACAAGCGGTGTCCTTAGTACTATGGCACAGCTTTTTTAAGGAGAAATGAAAAACACCATGGGCCTGTCCTCAAAGTGTGATGGTAACATCTAACACTGAAGAGTGTTTTATGGTTTACACAGTGCTTTAATATACATTCTTAGTTGATCCTACCACAATGTTTGGTATAAGGTACTATTTTACTAGATGAAGAACGGGTAGGGCTTAAAGAGATTAAAAATCACACACACCTGGCAAGAGCTGGATTCAGATGAACTCTGATTCAGTCAAATGTGTAGTTTGTCAGCCCTGCACCACATTTCAGTTGTAGTTTTATTTTGCAGAAGCAGTGATTTGTAGTCTTCTTTGCATTAAAGTCACTTGGGGGAGTGCTGTAAAAATGCTGAAGCCTGGGCCTCATGCCCAGAGATTCTGATTTAATTGCTCTGGTGTGAACCTGTGCATTTGTTAGAAGTGATTCTGATATGAAGCAAGGTTGGAACCACTGTACTAGGGAATGGAGCCCTAAAGGGAGGGGGAGGTGGTGACACTCACCTCAGAGTGGTGGTATCCAGGGGCTGGGGCTCTCTACTGGGTTGGGTTCTTTGTAGCCTAGTACTTGGCAGATTTGACTGCAGTTGGCACCACTGCATCAGAGGAAGAGATTCTGGCAGTAGAGTTCGGACGTTTCAGGAAGAGGATGTCCCACTAAAAAAAAGTGGGGTGGCTCTGGTGCTTAGTCGTTTAAGTGCTACCTGATCGAGTTGGAACTGTAGTCTTGTTTCTTTATATACTATTGGTCCTGCCAAAATGGATATCAGGAAAAGCAGCCTTAGGAAAAGGGTGCTTCTGTGGAGGGCATCTTTCTGTTCTTCTGTTGCCCTAGGTGGCTATTCCTGTGGTATGTGGGTCTACCACCGAGTTCTAATCTGCACTAACTTTTCCTTAGTATAGGAATGTTGAGGAATGTTTTAAGCTAATAATTTAGGTGTTGGACCCAGTGTTTCACTTAAATCTTTACCTTAAACATCATTTCCCACTTATTCTAGCTTCAGTAGAAATCCAAAACAGCTATATATATTAATATACTGAAATACATGTGCACTGTAAGAAGTTGGTAACTCCTTAGTTTTAAGTATTGATATTTAATTTTCTTTTTATCTGAAAGGGTGATGTTATAAAGTGGTAACTTAAATATAGTTAAGTGTAACTTTTTGTTAATTGAAGAGATAAATAAACTAAATGTAGACTTGTAATTTCTAATCATGCCACAATTGTTTTTCTTTCTTCAAGCTTTTACAGTGATGGAACCCAACTGTCATTCATACAAAACTGTTGAATTGCTGTTTGTTTTCACTTTCAGTTTAAAAATCCCCTTATTATGCTGCTTCTGGCTTCTGCAGTCATCAGTGTTTTAATGCATCAGTTTGATGATGCTGTCAGTATCACTGTGGTAAGGAAATATATATGTTCATATTTTACACTGTTGGTTAACTATATAAATTAGGATTGGCTTTTATTTTGAAAAATGAATTAAGAAATGCATTAATGTTTTTTCAGGGGTTTTTTTGTTGTTAATATCCAACTTGCTTTTAGTTGTAATCTCAAAGTGTTCAAGGGTCAGTGACTGGCACATGTAAGAATTATTTAACAATTTGGTAATATTTTATAATAATTTTCAGTTTGCTTTACTTTCTAATTGAGACTACACTTTGACTAACTGTGAACTAAAGCCTCATGTTTGTGAAACTAAAAGTATTATTAAACAATGTATATTATATTTACTATGTAAGATTGTACTCTTTCCAGCTAGGTTATTCTTTCATTGAAAGTTTTCTCCTCTTTTTTTTTCCCCTTGCCCCTTGTTTCATTATAGTATAAAAATTTATAGTAACTACAACCACTGATTAAAGCAAGTATATTATGCTGAAGAACACAGTTGAAATTAATATATAGATGTGCAATTTTCGAACCCTTGCCTGGGGACTCCCAGCAGTCTCTGAGACCCTTTCAGGGAACATGTGAGGTCAAAACTATTTTCATGATACTAAAACATCATTTGAAATCACCTTCTCCAGGTGATCTCAGTCTTTTCACGGTAGATATTTGCATTTGGTACAAAAGCAACAATGGGTAAAACAGCCTTGGCTTGAGTCAAGACAATGGCAACAGACTATTAGTATTTATGGTTTTCTTTCCTTATTTCTCTTAGGAATGTTTTTGATAAAACAGGGATTTTATTAAATCTTGACTCTTGAGTACATACCTTTTTAGTATTCTGGGTAAATGGAAAGTATGCATAAAGGACTTTTATGTATTGAAGTATAGTGGTTGTCTTGAGGAATGGTGATTGTGGTGAGCTGAACCAGCCTTTCACTTGAAAGAATGACTGATAACAAACTGGTTATTAAGACTAGACTAACAAGTACTTCTTTTGAAAGTGAGTAAAATGAGCCTTTCACTTCAAGAAAAACAACTGTCAAAATTTGTTGCCAGTGATAAAATTCAAGTTTTCAAGTGATAGAATTTTGCAAAATTTTTATGCGCTGCTACATGCTAGATAACTTCCCAGTATTTAAGACTTTATTCTAATGAGATCAGTAGTGAGTTCAATGAATGTGATTTTTTTTACTATTACAAAATGTGTTAGCATTTGGAAGATTTGAATAACCAGGTGAGTCAGTGTTTTGTAAGTGACCAGAGCATGAGGTTACACAATTTTTAATATAACAGGATATGAAAAGTTCATTGATAAAGTCTTGTATTCTACACTGCACAATACTTTTAAGTAGCTAACACCTAATTTTGGTGTAGTAGCAAAGAAGACTACCCACAATCATCTGGAAAGGCTTTTAAAGCATTCCTCTTTTTTCCAACAATATCTGTGTGAGGCTGGATTTTCTTGATATACTTTGGCCTAATCGATGTAGTACCATGGATTGAATGCAGAGGCAGATATGAGAATACAGCTTTCTCTTAAGGCAGGCATTAAAAATAGAAAAGTTGAAAACTTCCACTTTTCTCACAGTTTTTATTTTTGAGGGGGAATATATTTTTTCTTTAAAAATGTTATGTTAACATGTAATGGGTTTATTATTTTTAGATGAATTAATAAGTAGAAATTAAAACAGTAATTGAAAAAGTATTTAATATGGCAAATATCAAGAGATATTACCTATATAAATGAAAGCTAGTCCTCAGTTTTTTAGAGCATTAAGGGGTCCTGAGATCAAAAAGTTTGAGAAGCTGTCTTAGGGGATGCAATGTTTTCCCCACAGAGCGGGGCAAAGTTGTGATTTCTTCCCCAGGTGATCTCGGTACTTAGTGTCACATGTCTTGGGACTACAGATAGAGGTGGAAAAATAAGATACAATTAACAGTTATTTCTGAAGTTATAATGTGTGATTTAAAAGGATTTTGTTTTGTTTTGTTTAGGCAATACTTATTGTTGTTACAGTTGCCTTTGTTCAGGTGAGTAGGTGGCCTATTTTGCCAACATGAAAATGATGTTTTATTTAATTGCTTAAAAAATCTAAGGTAACTTATGGCAGAATCTGTAGTTACTAGGGGATGATAATGTTGGTCAGAACAATTTATCATTTATTTATGAAATAATTTCAGAAACAACTCTCCAGGGAAGTTTGTGGGACTAACTTGACTGCTTTGATTTAGGTAGTGGCTTGAAAGAAAATCTAGTTTTTTATTTGATGGTGTTATAGATAACTGAAGAAGATGGAAACAAAAAGCACAGTAATATATATAGGATTTAAAAAAAATTCCAATTGAAAAATTCAGCCAGAGTTTAAATGCCTCATTCTTCCATAGACAGGATGTTCTGATCTGGATCAAACTCCCTACTTAGCACAGACATTGGAACAGTGAAATAAACATGTGAAAGGAACTCCTTTTAAAAATTAATTTGAATAATGTACAGATAATGTCAGGATTTTTATTGACTATTATAGACATGAATACAAACATAGGCTTAGTTTTATGTTTATTTAAATATGATACCTTCTGAGAACAATGTTAACAAGTTTCATTTTATTAACTAAATGTTCTAAAGCGTGGTTAATAGGGATATAAGCAAGGATTATTCTGGTCGAGGGAAAAATGTAATATATATATGATCCTGAAGTTGTTTTGAGTCTTAAGACTGTATTTTAAGTGATTGTGGTTGTTTTCACATGACTTATTCCTTGGATATTTACTGTCATCCTACAGTAATATCTAATTTAGTAAGTATATTAGCTTTATAGAAACCCAGAGTAGAAAAACCAGTTAGAATCAGATTGTCTGTAGCAAGTTTGTGAGATCCATCAGTACTGTCAGGGATCCTGTTTCTAGGGAATCTTCTTGCTTAAAATAGACAAAAGTTGCCCTAGGGCTGGTGGACCTCAGTAGGCCAGCAGAGTTTGTTCAGGCTATCATTCAAGGCAGCTATTCATTCAGCCATGTGGGCAGTAAGACCCACTGGATCCGTAACTGGAACCTTTTTGTATCTTTAATAATGCTGTACATGCATGGAATGACTTTCTTCATTAAGGATCCTTACAACATTATCACTGTGTGTGGAATACCTTAGTAGCTTGTTGTCTTGGTAGAGAGCTCCTACACTCAAAATAAACCAAACAAACATAAAATTGCAATTAAAATTTATTTATTTTTAGAGAGAGGGGAAGGGAGGGAAAAAGAGAGGGAGAGAAACCCATTGTGTGGTTGCCTCTTGCACACACATACTGGGGACCTGGCCCACAACCCAGGCTTATTCCCCGACCAGAAATCGAACTGGTGACCCTTTTGTTCCCAGGCTGGTATTCAGTCCACCGAGCCACACCAGCTAGGGCCTAAAATTGCAATTTTAACATAGTCGATGTGGAATTTTACACAAAGGTAGTGTGTCATTCACTTTAAGTGCAGCTGCTGAAACCATCTACTAAATATCTTTATGATAGGTCAGTGATGGAAAACTCAAAGAATCAAAACATTTATGAAGACTCCAGTTTCAGATTGATAGATCTGGTTTCTTGTACAGATGTGAGTCGTTCTCCCAAGGTACCTATGAAACCAACAAAAATTCTATAAACAGCAATTAAAAACACCTGCTAAAAAAGATCCTATGTATTGTCACTTGAACTTATCATAGCGCTTTGTCAAAAAACTATCAGAAATACCAGAAATTTGTAGTGCTTTATCATTATTTAGTATTTGTGTTTTTACCTGTGTTTTAGAAGGGAAGTACTTTTTATATTTACTTTATATCTGCCCTTTTTTCCCTATCTCTTTTTAATTTAATTCCCCATCCCATTATGTACCCTCATAGCCATAAAATAGCTAATTGTTTTATATAGTCATATACTGATGCAACTTACAATAAATTTAAAATGATAACTTTTAGGCATCTATTAAGGATGGCTATCAGGTTTTTGGTGGTGTGTTATGTTAAATGGTCATTTTGATAATGGAGGCATCTTTGTAGTTTTAAGGAATAAAGGCTAAGAAATCTGAAGAGGGAGATAAAGATTGGGCAGCTTTTATGTCATTTATTTCTAGAATCTAAGATTGGTGAGTGTTTTCTAGCCTGTTGTGGAATTTTTAGGTAACACTTCCAAATTCCTTAATATCCTTGGGGAGGGATGTCTTGTAATTTTTATATTTATAGATTTACCTCACTGTTACATTTGTTCCTCTTGCCCAGGTGAAGACTGATTTAGTTCTAAGTTATTCTTATACAACTTTGCATTTTTTATTTGAAAAAGATTGTGATGGGTATGAAATTCTGATTTGTACTAACACTGCAGTCATTTTAAAACACTCCCCACCTTTCACTCCCACTACTACTTCTCCCTTTTTCACCTGAGACCAAAAGATTGACTCTGGCTGGTATGGCTCAGTTGGTTGGATGTCATCCCACAAAATGAAAGGTCACTGGTTCAATTCCCTGTCAGGGCACATGCCTGGATTCCTTCCCCTGTTCGGGTGCACAACAGGAGACAATCAATCGATGTGTGTCTCCTTTGCTTTCTCCCTTCCTTCCCGTTTCTCTCTAAAAAAAACAAAACAAAACAAAACAAAAAAAAAAACAACTGAAGTCTGTAAACAAGAAAACAAAATTGGCGTGCTAAGTGCAGTCATGAGACAGAAGTAGTATTGTTGTATGAAGCAAGACTGCCCATGGAAATATGTACTAAATAGTATCACAGTTGGGGCTTCTGCAGATGTCCACTTATGCATAATTCAGGGTGATACCAAAAGTGTCTATCAAGGTAGGGCAAGCCACATCTTACTCCTTGCTTAAGGTATGTTCTTTTCAAGCAGACTTACCCCATAAACCTTTTCAGTTAGCAAGGATCTAAATCCTCAAATCAGATGTTGCTTGCAGTTAAATGTCTTTGACTTCTTTGATCATTAAACACTGGAAGAAAATTTAAGGCTCAGTGAACTTAATTTATAATAAGCAAAAATTATATACTCTTTGGACATTCTAATCACTTTTCATTTTCTGATAAATAGCTTGATCCTAGGTTTGCACACTGAATATTAAAATATAAAATTGGGACTATTTAATAAACAAAATTGGTCACTGCAACATTTAATAAGGGGCAAGCTTTTATTTGCAGAATGTAATTGCACATAAAGGAAAAGATAAGAATTAGGAAATTAAAAAAAAAGATTTTATTTGCTTATTTTTTAGAGAGGGGAAGGGAGGGAGAAAGAGAGGGAGAGAAATATCAATACATGAGAGACATGGATCAGTTGCCTCTTGCGTGTCCCCAACCAGGGAATTGGCCTGCAACCCAGGCATGTATCCTGACTGGGAATTAAATGGGAGACCTTTCAGTTTGCGGGATGAACTCCAACCCACTGAGCCACACTGGTCAGGTCTAGAATTGGGAAATTTTAAAATAATGATTGAGATCAGTATTTAATTAAGTTTGATATGGAATATGTTCTTAGAAACAGACGTATTTTACATTTCTTTATAAATGTTGATTTTAATATTTTGTTCTGCTTTTTTTTTTAACATAGGAATACCGTTCAGAAAAGTCTCTTGAAGAACTGAATAAACTTATGCCACCGGAATGCCATTGGTATGTTCTTGTCTCTCATAGGGATGTCTACTCTTAAAAATAGAAACTGAATGTACTAGTGGGATGATACACTGTGGCCTCAAACTTGTTAAACATAAGGTAGAAGTCATTAATCTGACATTAAACAACTTCACGCCCTGTTTGGTGTAGCAAGTTGTACTACTAATACTTTAAAGTTCTGATTTTGATATTGCCAAGACGCGTAGATTTGTTCAACAGATATATTTGTCTGTGTGTGTACAACCATGTGCTAAGCACTGTTCTGGAGACAGTGCTACACAAAAAGACCAAGCGATTATTTTTCCTTAGGCATACCCACTGGAGATCATTTTATAAAATAGTGGCATGGCTTTCTTTTTTGAGCCACGGTTGTTTCTGTTTCATGTTACAGTGTGCGTGAAGGGAAATTGGAACATACACTTGCACGAGACTTGGTTCCAGGTGATACAGTTTGCCTTTCTGTTGGGGACAGAGTTCCTGCTGACTTGCGCTTGTTTGAGGTAAGTTTGTTGTCTTAGTTTGTTTGTGCTGCTCCAAAATTCCACACACTGGATTGCTTATCATCAATATCTCATAGTTCTGGAAGCTGGAAAGTTCCAGATTAAGGTGCCAGCATGGTCGAATTCTTTTGCTCATTCTTCCTCATTCATAGCTGATGCCTTCTCTTCTCACTGGGTCCTCACCTGGTGGAAGCAGCTTAAGGAACTCTGTGGGTCTCTTTTTATAAGAAGGTCTCACTTCCTTTTTTTTTTTTTTTTAAAGACTTTATTTATTTATTTTTGGAGAGAGGAGAAGGGAGGGAGAAACAGAAAGAGGGAAACATCAGTGTGTGGTTGCCTTTCATGCACCCCCAACTGGGGACCTGGCCCACAACCCAGGCATATGCCCTGATTGGGAATCGAACTGGTGATCTTTTGGTTAACAGGCAGGCACTCAGTCCACTGAGCCACACCAGCCAGGGCAGATCTCACTTCCTAATACCTTCATCTTAAGGGTTAGGATTTCAGCCTACGAATTGGAAGGGTGAGACACAGATACTTAGACCATAGATTTTATGATTGGTGAGAAGTGAATATACTTGGATGGAAATTAAAGATTAGACAATTAACAGTTTTAAGGATTAACACATAGCTGATTTGTACATTGGGTTTTCTGATTTAAAAAGTGACATATATAGAATTTTTTAATCAATTAGTATACTATTTGTGTACACAAACCTCTCACCATAAAATTAGATAGAACTTGTTGAGTAAGAGAAGTACTAAGAATGCAATATAAAAATTTACAAAAGGGAGTGGTTACTTCTGATTTGAGCAAAATCAGAATGCCTCAGAAACATGGCTTTAATGGCAATAACTGAAGGGTGGGACTGGACGGAGATGGAGAAGACAAGGAAGGAACGTTATTCAGATCACTGTAGTGTATGTCAGTATATAATATGGGGCTAGACTAGACTATGTTTAGGATAGAGAATATATGGTGGAATCAGATTCAGGAGGGCCTTGGATACAAAACTCCATTTCAGATTTTATTGGTTAGGAGTTAGCTTTGAAGATCATAGGCAGCTGGCAAATGATATTACCCTTAATGTGGCCACAGTGTGTAGAATAGATTAAAGGGATGGAAAATGGAGTTGGGCAGCTAGTTTACGAGGCCCTCACAGCCCATTAGCATGCCAGTACCATCTATTATAGGAATTAATTGGCTGTGTCTTAACACCTATAGAGCTATCAGTCTATGAAAACTTACCATATCCCAAAATATGAGTGTTTTATACAGAGAGTATGGGAAGCCTGAAGAACCTTTTGAAGTATAATAACAAACTTCATTTAACCTTGAAATAATGGTCATTTTTACAAATACTTAAAATTTATCCTTAGATGTCAGACTGGGAATGTTATTTATTTTACCTTTTTACCTTTTTTCTCTCCTTGATAGGTCTTTCTGTTGTATCTTTTCATTCATTTTTTCCCTCCCTTCCTCCACCTTAATATTTAGTTTATGACAAGACCTTGGATTGTTCTTCCTTAGATTTGATAGGGATTGTCACTTAGTATAAATCATCTTCCCTTCCTTAATTTAAATTCATGGAGCTTATGTCATCATTTACTCTGGAGTGCTTGTCTTCCAGTTCAGAAACAGACTTCCTCAGTGGGTGTTTCTCATTATTTGAACAATTTGAACAGTATAATGACATAGAAACTTAAAAGCACCATTTGGGATGGAAAGTGTTTTAGGGTTTTCATTTAAATAAGGGTAAATTGATCTGTGAATTAATCATCTCCAAGTTCATGTGCAAATGGGAGAAAACTTTTCAGATTAATACATATTTTATTCACTCAGCAATTATATATCGAAGACTTACTATAAATTCAGTAACAGGGAATTTTTACCTTTTAAAGCTTGATGCTAAAAATATTGAAGCATATGTTTTGTGAAATAATTTATTAGTTTGGATTGTTTTTCCCTCTGTGTTAATTTTTCAGACACTTCATCAGCGTATGTTTTGCTTGGCAGTGCTATTTGGATTTTTCCACTTCTCTGTATATAGTTGAACATCTTTGATTCCCTCTATCCCTTTTCTGCCCTATTTATTTTACTTTCTACCTGGTACCACAAGCAGGCTGTTGCAACTACTTTCCCAGTAGACTGAGATGACTTTCCTAAAAGATTAGAGAAAATCTCCTGCTTCTTCTAAATTTAGATGTACTGACTTAAGACATAATAAGGCTTATAAAATTGATTTCTCTACTATACACAGATTTTTTTGGAATTAAATTGGCTTATTGGAGTGTTGTTTGCTGAATTTGACTGAGGTGTGATCTTTGGACTATTTTGTAAGGCCAGCTGGTCATTTGATGTTCCTGCATGAAACAAACTAGTAGGATTTAAAGGAAACAAGAAAATTCCTCAATTAGTCTTGGGATAGTATTAATTCCTCACAAAGTATGTAATTCTCTTCTTGTGCACTTGATCCAACTCCAGGGTTACCACTTCAGCATTGTCATGTTGCAACTCTAGGGTTCCTGTCACTAATTTCAGTGGTTCCGATATTGACTGTAAATCTTGCCTGGGCCTTCAGTAGCATTTTGTCACCATATTCAGTGACTTGAGTGCATTATCTTTTCATAGGTTGTGACTTAAGTCAGTGCAGGCTGCGGTAATAAAATAGCATACACTGGGTGGCTTAAACAACAGTCATTTATTTTCTATAGTTCTGAGGCTGGGAAGTCCACAGTCAGGGACAGAATTCAGTTTCTGGTGAGGACTCTGTTATTGGCTTGCAGCCTTCTTGCTGTGTCTTCAAGCATCAGAGAGAGAGATCTCTCTCTTGTAAGACCACTCATTGCATTATGAGGGCCTCACCCTCATGACCTCATCTAACCCTAATTATTTCCCAAGGCCTCGTCTCCAGTTACCTTCCCATTGGAGATTAGGACTTCAATGTGAACATTAGGGGGACACAGTTTATTTCATAATAGGCTGAGGCTGTCATTTGTAGACATTTAAAAAAAATACTAATTTGGTAACTTGAGAAATTCTTTTTTTTTTTTGCCTGAGTCAGTTTTTTAAAACCAGAGAATGTGCCCGTATCTATTGGTGGAAGTGATCTTAACAGCTTAGAAGCCTTAGAGTTGGGAGAATAAAACTTAGAGAAATTGAGCTATGAGCATGTTTCTCACCTTTTTCCTAGGGGTTTTAAGTTTAATTTTTAACAGTATTTGAGAAAAGGCACCCCTGGCCCATTAATTGGTGGTAGCCAGTGGATTGGTCAGACAAGGGCTTTAGATGAGGCAATATTATGGACTATACATACCTGTGTAACACTACATTTTGCCTTTTTGGAAGCAAGATATTTTCTATATTGTTCTGGGTAAAGTCTATATTAATATGGGAACAAAGAATTCCTTATAAGAGAAAACAATGTAAGAGTCAGAGGAAAAGAAGGTTTCTTTTGTTTGTAACTTTCTGAGTTGTAACTTTCTAAGCTCAAAACATGGTTTGAAATATAGCAAGATTTTCTTTCACTTGAAATTCTGAATGATTAATTCCATTGACATTTCTTTCTGTGGCTCATGTGCTTTGTGTTAGCCCATATCATTCTTTGAAACTGTCTTTAATATCTAGACACTGGGTACAACTGCCTTTTTAAAAAAAATAATTTTATATGATTTTCTGAATGTGTCAAACTTCTTTCAGAGAACTATCACTTATGTGGCTGAGAGCCACACACAGGGTGGGGCAAATGTAGGCTTATATTGTGCGTATGTGAAACACAGAGTTTATTCTTGTGTTATTATTTATTGATTATTATTTTCCATACAGCCAACTGTAAACCTACTTTTGTCCCACCCTGCACTAATCATTGTTATGACACTAGATTATCAGACCATAAAAGTCTGGGCAGAAAGATAACACTGCTAGGAGTTCAATCTACTGAGGCAACTCAGAGGTCTAAACTTAGAATAGTGAGTTCTCTTATCTCATGCATCTCTCTACTTTGTTATAGGACAGTAGTATGACTCTCAGTACCTTCCAGTGTCTTTAGGGTTGTTCTTTCCTGTTTCTTAGTTCTCAGGACAAGTGAAAACCAAAGATAATGAGTTGAATGAGAACAACTTTACTTTGGCTACCTACGAACTGAAGGAATACAACTGCACTTGGCCATCATGTCCTTTTCTGTAAGGCTCACATTCTTGCAAACTACTATTAAAGAACCACTAGCAAGAAGCTTCCTCTCAGTGGGTTATCTCCATCAGTGGAGCAATGTCAGAGTGTTATGTAACCGCTTAGTTACAAAATACATTTTCCATTCACTCAGTGAAAAACTTAATATTCTGGCAAAGTTAGATTCTGATTTGGTTATGTTTTTCAAAAAAGAGTTGTCAGACATTGCTAGAATATAAGCATGTTGTGATATTTAAAATGTACTTATTTTGGTAATGAAGCTAAGTAGGCAAAATATATTCTTTGTCTTCAGAATTCAGTCTGTGTTATGAAGCCATTTTAGCCATTAACAAATATTTGAGTACTGTGTATAACATGTTAGGAGTAGCAAGTGAAAAAGAAAACTACACAGTTTGTACTCTTTCTACTGGGAGACACCAGCTTGCAAATAAATGTGATTCAAAATATAAAATGTGTCTGTTTATGAAGTGAATTGACCATGTAAGTTTAACAAGTCACTGAATATTTTTAGTTCCCAGTTTTCTTAATGTGACAGAATTACTCTAGGGCAGTACATGCTAACTTATAATGTGCATAGACATCATCTGGTTTTATTTTGGTAAGTCTGTGGTGGGGCTGAGATTTTGCATTTTTAGCTAAGTGCTAGTCCATCCACTACATATAAAAATAATTTTTTAAAAACTTTATTGAAATAATAGTATTCCAAGCAGTCTAGACATTGAAAATGTACCATTGAGTGGTTTTCAGTATATACAGAGTTGTGCAGCTGTCACCACAGTCTAACTGTAGAATTTTCTCATCACTCCTGAAC